GCCCCCCCTCCAGATGGAAAAAAAAAAAAGCAAGGCCCACCAAGGGAAAGCCATGTGCTAAGAGACACACAACCAGGGAAATCATAACCTTAGAATTCAGACCCAGTACCATGTGATAGCAGAGCCCAGGCCAGCTCTGCCCCATAGTGGGGACGCCCTAAACCGTATCACATTCCCTCACTTAATCTCACTTAATCCTTTAATCGAAGGCATAATTCAACCACCTCAAATGTCTATTCCACCAAAACACCAAGAGGGTGCCCTCCACGTGGGCCCAGCCCGGCTGGCCCGGAGAAGAGGGAGGCCACTCTGATTACCCAAGGCTGGCAGTAAGGAACCCTGAGACAGCTTCTGTTCTCAGGACAACACGGCCGCCAGGACACCCCTAAGCCTCACCGGACACAGTACCCCAGAAACGCCCGCTCTCGGTGTCAGGCGAGTCGGCAGGTGCAGGAGCAAGAGGCGCCAAGCAGAAGCCACTTGTGGGCCATGGAGCCCGAGCCAGTAGCACACGCCCGTCTCCATCGCCAGTCTGGCAGCAAAGCCCAGATGCATGCCACATGCCCCCACCTGGACTGGCACGGTTCCGCCTGCAATCAGAAAGAGCGCCTCGACTGTACTAGGCAAATGGCAGCATCAAACTTACACCCTCCTTGAAGTGCATTTATTTATTACAACCTGGGAGGGGAAGAACACACTTGCTGTTTATGGAGAATTTAGATTCTTTTCTCCTCTTCTGTCTCTGGCCCCCGCCCTACCACCCCTCCAATCAGACATGTTACCCTGGAAACAAACTTGATAGACCCAAAATCTTAATGACAAATGGTACTGAAGGAAACAAAAAATTATTTGTGTTTACTCGCCGCCGCAGAAAACATCCAATAAACGAAAGGCGGGAAGGATGGACAGACAGGAGCTGGGTAAGCGACAAAGTGGAAAAAAACAAACACGCGTGCACACACACATGCAGACACATCCCCGTGGGGCCCGTGACTACCCCGGAGGACACAGGCTTTCATTCTCAGGCGGAAACCACGCCGTGGGGCTGAGCTCCCCACTCGGCACTGGACACCCAGCAGGTGCTGAGTTAACAAAATCCAAGTTCAGAAGATTACTGCCCCTGCACCCCGCCCAAGAGAACTCCTAATTAAAGAGACCGACAAGGATTAAGGGGACTTCTCTTTTCTTTACCATGATAAAAAGCCCAGAAGAAACATTGCCATCGGAGGAGCAGAGTGTAGAAAATTTAAAAGCAAGTCACTGAGGAATTCAGGCTTGAAAATAAAGAAGGCCACGGCCACCTGTGCTCCCACCCCTGTGCTGTTTGGTCGAGGAATTGGATCGGACCCACCACCCTGAGACGCCATGTGCTGCATGTGATAAAATAAGGTGAAAGGAAAGGTAGGCAGCTTAGTTGTGCTTCTTCGGCGCGGAGAAACAAAGCACACAGACAAAAGCCCTCTTCCAGCGGACAAACATGTCTAGCAGGTGATCAAATTCAACCCACACATGAGAACAGCAAAATGGATTCTGGTCGTGTGGACCCGGCTGCTTCTGCAGAACTCCTGGCCCTTGGCTCCAACCCACACTACAGTCGGCAGCCACGAAAAGCCCAAGGGGGCCAGGGGAATGACAAGTCTGGATGCAAAAGGGGAATGAGGCACCACGTCTAGGCCACAGTCTGGGCGGGACCGCAGGTGCGGTCCTGTGTACGCCAGGGAGGGGGCGGACTCGTCCCAATCACCCCTCACACGTCAGCCAGGTCACTGTCGCCTTTGTGTTCCTTCTTTGTTTATGAGCACTGGGGATCCAAAGTCTCCAGCACAGAGTGCCTTGGGCCCAGCGCTGTCACAGGCCATGTCGGGCACACGGCTGGCTCTGCGAGGATTTAATCAGTAACTGGCCCAGGAGACTGGCACCTGGGCAAGCTCCAACCCGACCCCACAGAAGGCAAAGTTTATGGCCAGGCCAGGAGGTGAAGGCCACCAGCCCCAGGGCCTCAGGCTAAGCCCACCTCCCCAGCGGGGAATCAACTGAGGTCCACCTGCGGGGTGGGCCCTGCTGGAGTAGCCTACTGGGGTTGGGGGGTGCTGGGAGCCTCCATATGTGTCCACCCTAGCCCGATGCAGCTGTGGTCCTGGAAGCCTTTATCTCTGACAACAATCCAGTTAATTGGATCAGTGTAGACAGACTCCAAAGATGGTTTGGGCAGGAGCGTATTTGGTTTATCGTATTTGGTTTGTTTATCGGTTTGAATCCAGATCAATCACTCTAAGTCTTGTTCCTGAAGCCCACGCAATTAACCAGATAATTACCAGACGGTTCTGAGTTGGGCTGTGCCGATGGATTGATACACGGATGATGGACATTTCATGAAAGGATTTGACCTGCTCCGGAAACATACCTGATCATACCTTGAGGCTGGGCCGGGGGACTCTGCAAAGCCACGGGGCTGCACAGGGCTTTTGCGGTAGTGAACGACACTGAAATTCACCTTTGTTTCATTTGGGGTTAATATTTCTCAATAGCGTGCTTGGGCCACACTATAAAATGCAGACAGATTACATAATGCCCAGGCCTCAGGGAAACCCCTCCAGGGGTTCCTTTGCTTCCCCAGGGCCTGGACACCAACCAGGTGTCTCATGATGGGACAAGGTCCCTGGTACAGTTCCAGTCCCACCTCTGCCCTGGACGCCACTGCCACAGCCAGGAGTGCCCTCAGCAGCCCCCTCCACACTCACAGGCCCTGGCACAGAGAGCCCCGCAACCCACTGGAGCCCACCAGGGCAAAATTCAAGGCCACCCCCTGCCCACAGGGCCCAGTGGCCACAGGCGGAGGAAGGGGGGACTGGCCAGTCCATCAGACACTTGCTCATGGTTCCTACTTCCACATTTCCGACCCCGCCGCAGCAGGGTTCTACTGAGACAAATCTTGTTCTACGGATGGCCTTCACCCCCGGTCCTGAAAATCACAGCTCCTCACCAGAGAGGGCCAAGCTACGAAGGTGCCACCCAATTCGGCTGGTGAAGGTGGTGCTGGGGCCTCTGGCTGCTGGAAAAACCAGTGCCCAGCCTCAGTCTTTGCTTCTGTCCTCTCCTAGATAACTCTTGAGCAATCAGTCACTGGGGGGAAGGGGGCCTGGAGCCTCCAAAGCCGGCTTCCCTCCCAGACCATGGCCAGCAGCCCCAGAGCACGCACTCCCGGCTTCTCCCATGGAGGGCCACTGTGCCTCTCAACCACTTCCTCTCCCCTCCCAACTCCCCTTCATTTTGACGGGTGGGAGGAAAACAAAAACACTCCCCGGAAGCAGGGGGAAATTCGGAAGCCGGGTTGGGGGGCTCCTGATCCCAGGCAGGGAACTATTAAGGGCACTGGTTCCTGCCTGAACCTGAAACACTGCGTGCTGGTGAATTCTCTGAGGTTCTCTCTCCACGGAATGAAAAGCCAAATAAATGCCCAGGCCTGTGGCTTTGGACGGGTTTAAGAACATGCATGAGCCTGAACCCGGGACCGGACCGCCTCACGGCAACCAGCGATCCTCCCTGAGGAAGAAGTCTTTGCAGATACTGCACCAACCTGCCCACAGGAAAGACAAAAAAATAGGTGTTCTAAGCACGTCGGACCCGAAATTCAGAATAAGAGTCCTCGTGCGTTTCAGTGGTCTGGGGAGGGAGGAGTGGTTTCGAGGAGTAGGGCTGCTTCTGCTAACTTTCCCCCCCTCCCCATTCCTTGGAGCATGTGTCACAGCCTGTGACACACTGCCAAGGGAACATGGATGCCGGGGAAATGTCTACACACGCTACATGTTTGTGACATGCCATGGAAGCGACACCCTGTTTCCTGGCTGGGTTTTCTTGGCACAGGTGTGGGCAGGCACTGGATTCTGCCACCTCCACCCCCCACCTCCCCCGGCCCCAACAACCGTGCTTAGTAAACACGATCACGATCACGGCCACCCCAGGGGGTGTGTGTATTCTGGGGAAGACCTGCCACCTCTCCACAGAGAGGACGGGATCCCCTCAGCAAGGCTCAGGCCCAAGCAGAGCTGGTGCTTTAAACTGTCCTTGTTTCAAAACACAAAGCATCCTGCTCAGCCTCCTGCCAGCCACCCCCATGCCCTACGACCCCACCACAGCTGTCTTTCCCCACCTTGCAGATTTGATTTCAGAAACACATCAATGACTTCTCCTCTCCCTCTCATCCAGCTGACCCAGTCCCAGCCATACATTTGAAACAATAACAGTAACAAAATATAACCAACCGCAGAACACACGTATACACACCCTTCACAGACAATGCCAGACCAGGGCCCCAAAGCCAGCTTCCACTCCAGAACCTGACCACCCCTAGGTGGGGAGGAAACAGTCCGGGACCCCTGGCCCCTCCCCCTCCTCTTCCAACATCCCAGCGTGCGAATGAGATTTTTCAGAAAGGGAAGCACCCAGTTTTGCCTACCAGCCTGAGCAGGAAAAAGACAGTAAAGCACAGAAAGCACTGGCTTCTGGAAATTCTTTGGGTTTGGGGGTTTCGAGGTTGTTAGGTTTTCTTTCTTTATGGGGGGGGGCTTGTTTCGTTTTCCCCTCCAGCGCAGATCCAGATGGGCCGCGGGCTTTCAGAAAGGGAACCCCCACCACCCTCGGAGCCCACCCCGGTTCTACCCCCCGGTCCCATCCGTAAAAACACTAGCTAGCGCTGGGTCCGGGAGGTCCGCAGATGCCCAGGCTGGGGTGGGCCGGATCCGGTGCAGAATTCCGAGGGTCTCCCCGAGCCCGCCCGCTGGGCATAAGCCAGCCCCGAGGGCAGGCCAGGAGGGGGGCGCCGGGGTCCCCCCGCCAGCCCCCGCCCGGGCCCCCAGGCCGACCCGGCACCCCCGGCGCCCCGCAGGCCCCGGGCTCCAGGTGCAGCGGCGGGCAGGGGGCGGCGGCGAGAGGGGGCGCCTCCCGGCCCCGAGGCGAGGCGCGGGGGTGCCGGCGCGCCGCCGCCGCGCAGAGCGACTCACCGTGGCGGACGCCAGGCTGTTGTCGGCCAGCGTTAGGTGGTGCGGCTCCCAGCGCCTCAGGAATTTCGAGGTGAGGATCTTGCTGAGAAAGGTCCGCGGGTGCCGGATGACACAGACCTGGATGTCGCCCTCCTGCAGCAGTTTGTACCTCATCCCGTTGCACAGCAGAAGGGCCCGGCGGCAGGGCACGGCGCCCATCTTCGTGCCCTCGGGGGCCGGCACGTCGCCCCCCAGCAGCGGCTTGGTCTCCTCGATCTGCCGGGGGTCGCCGCCGCCGCCCGAGCTGCTGGTCAGATCCATGGCCGGCCGGGCCGGGGAGGGGGCCGGGGGCGGGGAAAGGGGGCTGTCCCGGGCTGCCGGGGCGGCGGGGCCCCCGAGCGGCGGCCCGCACCCCCCCCCACCGCCCAGGAAGGTGGGGGGGCGTGGGGCTGGGGGAGCGCCCGACAGGGGAGGGGCCGGCGGGCGGCCGGGCGGCCGGGCGGCGGGCGGCCGGCGCTCGGCGCTTCCTCGCGGCTGCGCTTCCTCCTAGCTCGTCGGCTGCATGCTGGCGGCGGCCGGAGCGGCGGGCGGCGGGCGCGGACGCGGGGCAGCGGCGGGGGCCGGGGCCGCGCGGGCGGGCGGGCGGGCGTGTCTCGGCCCCGCCGCCCGCTCGTGTGTACTGTACGTGTGTCTGGGCGGCCGTCCGCGGGCGAGTGTGCGGCGGGGGCCGCGGGGGCCGGCTCAGTTGAGAGATTGCAGAAGCCGCTCGGCGCCCGCGCGATTGGTCCCCGCGGGGTCATGTGCCCGCCCCTCTGACGTCAATGGCGGCAACGGCGGCGGCCGCCGCGGCTTCGGCCTCTCGCAGGCGGAGTCGGCCGCCGGGCGGGGACGCGAGGGGCAGAGGCGCGGCCCGACGGGAGGGGGCGGCCCCTGGGGAGGGGGCCGCGGCGGGCGAGCCCCGGCAGGCCCCGGGCCGGCCCCGCCCGGAACGTGGGGGTGGGCGGGGGCCGCGGGGGCGGGGCGCGTGACGTCACGACGAGCCGCGCCCCCGCCGGTGCCCAGGCGGGTGCCCAGGCCGGTGCTCCGGCCGGTGCGGAGCGCTGCGGCCCGCCGGCCCCCGCCCCAGCCGGCCGGGATCGGAACCGTCAGCGCCCTGGGACGTGCGGACGCGGGCGGCCGACGTGCACCCAGGTGCAAACCCAGGGTCCGGGTTTGGGGAGGGGGGGGGGGGCGGGGCCGGGCTGGGGGGGCGGGGGCGGGGGGCTGGACCGCTTCACCTCTGACACCCCCTGCACAGCTCAGGCTGCCCACCCGGCTGGCTAGGTGGGGCCATAGGACAGGGATGGTTCCTCGAATTAAAAATGTCCTCTCAGCTCTCCGGGTGATGAGCTCACACTGCCCTGTCTCAGCCTGCCGGGCTCTGAGAGCCCCCCGGCCTTTCACAGATGTCTGCGGGCCTCGGCCCCGTGTGGTCCTCAAGCGTCCGGAGGGAGGGGACAGACTCCCCGGCCCCCCTTCTGGTGCCCCTCGAGTCTGACCCCTCTAGGAACCTAGACAACAAGGTCCCTCCCCAAAGTTCCTGGGCCCCTCCCCTTGTGCCTGAGCCCCAGCCGTGCCAGCTGCTTTGCCTCTCCCCTCAGACCAGCCCATTCATCCCTGCATGGGCAGGCCCAGCACAAGACTGGGAGAGGATCATACTGGAAACACCCTTGTGTTCCAGTGACACCCAGTGTCACCTCGGAACTCCAACTCTGAAACAAAAACGTCTTCTTTCTGCCATCAGGAGCGACACCTAAAGCCACCCAGGGAACGCTTGGCACCTCCACGGGGCGTTCTCACAGCCACATGCTTCTGCCCTTAATACCATTTAAACCCCCAGATTTTTGCCTTTTTTGTTAAGGGAAGGTGCCTCTGTAGTGATTACATGAATGTGTGAGTGTGTGTTGAATTGCATGGTGAATGCTGGCACCTTGCCCACAGCATCCCTGTGCTGGAGATTATCCCCTCCCCACTCTCTCCCAAGAACAGGGAAGATGGAGGGGCTCCTGAAGGATCCTATCCCTGAGCCTGACCAGGGCCAGGAATGGGGGGTGGGAAGGGCGCACAGGGCCCAGCATGTGCCCCGTGTCAGGAGATGGGCAGAGCTGTTCCCTCCTCCTGGCCCCGGGGGGAAGGCAGTTAAGTGAGAAAATGGGGAATTGGTCAACTCTCCACAATTTGCTGGCAAATTCTGTTCTTGGAATTCTGAAGTTTACAGCCTTGAGACAATCATCAAGCAAGAAAGGGTCCAGCCCACGCCCCCACCTCATGGTATAGATGTGGATTCAGAGCGTAGTTGTGACCAAAACCCTCAGGCCATCAAGGGGTGGGATTAGGCCAGCTGTTCCAACCCGTTATGGAGCTCTTCCTGTATGCTAAGTGCTGTGCGTGCATACACCTGTTCCTTCTCACAGCAACCATCATATACGTGCCATCACCATTCCCTCTGGCAGACAAGGGTACAGAGAGGCTGAGTAACTTGCCAGGCTCACTAGGATCATCAGGCTCAGAGTCTACGACCCTAAAGCAATGTAAAGGCAATGACCATGCTGTGCTTGGGCTATAGGAATGGCAAGAGGACCGTAATCTATACTGTGGCACTGGGGTACGTGTCCTGACTCCAGGAGGCCTTCAGGAGTCAGGTAAAGGGCAGAGGTGCTCCTGGAAGGGGAATGGCACATGCAAAGGTAGAGACATGGGAGATAGTCAGCCTGTCCAGGAAGCTGCATGCATTTGCTAAAACTTACAAAGTGCCCTGGGGTTACAGGGCAGAGGCCTAAGAGGTGAGAAGGGGCTGGGCAGGTAGTGCCCTGAAATGCAGGTCCAGGGACCAGACCTCCTGTGAGAGCTGCAGAAAGCCGCCACATGGACCACGTGTGGGAGTGGCTTGTAGATATCACCTTCATAAGGTCACTTGTCACAGCATGACATGGACAAGGTTTGCAGAGGGGCAGCCTGGAGACAGGGAAGTCAGTGGGGAGGCTGCGGAGAGGACCCAGGAGGGAGATGATGGGGGCCAGCATGGAGTCGTGGAGGAGGACAGCCAGAGCAGCTGCTGTCCACCTTCGGGACATCCATAGACCCTCCTCTCCCCATTCAAGAGGCAAACTCGAGCAGAGTGAGATTTACGAGGGTGCAGAGAATCCCTGATTTCTTCCGGGGCCCTTCCACACATCCTCAGCACTGCTTGGTACTGTGGGTGACTGGTGAACGTTACATAGGAAAGTTAGGATTAAAAATGAGCAGCATTCAAAGTGCCAGGTACTACGTGGGGCTTTCATGTTCCTTCTTCTTCCTTCCTCCCAAGGAGCCTAGAAGGCAAGAATCACTATCATCCCCATCTTAAAGTGAGGAAGTGAAGACTCAGAGATGGTCAGACAACTGTGGGAATCCAGCCAAGATATGAACCCGTAATTCCGTTTGACCTGAAATTCCACGTTGTCCCCACTCCATCTTTGCAATTTTTTCCTGCACAGGTGCTCAGGGGAAAAGTGTTGAAATCAGCTGAGGTCATCCTTAAATACTATTTCTTGGTTTTCGTTTGAAGTCAGTGACACGGAGCCCCCACGATGCTTCAAGAAGAGATCCATGAAGGCAGAATCCAGCGGTTCCTGGCTGACGGAAGAGCTAGCTCGGTGCCTGCACACAGTCAGACCTCAACAAATGGGCAGTGACTGACCAGTTGATAGTCACACTCACCTATTCCCTGGGGCTTGGGCATGTGCAGGCAACAGGACTGGGTCCGTGCATCGGGCAGCGTCGGTACTCTGTGGGTGATATGCAGAGCCCCTTGCCTCCCACTGTCCCAAGTTCCTGACCTAATAATCAAGGAGTCTAGCTGCCAGATTCCCCCGAAGCCCCTCCCTGCAAGTCCCCAACCTCCATAGGAGATGCAAACTGGTCGAGTTTCCACGGATGGATCACAAGTTGTCCTTGACGTCACTGGATCCAGACCCTCCAAAGGACAAGCGAGGCCCCTCCTGGGCCACACGGGTGGAGAGCCCACTCACTGTGGCAAAGCACAGTGCTAGGAGCTGGGGTTGTAGTGAACGACAGTGGACTGCCGTGCGCTCTCATCTCCACTCCTAGTGCCTGAAGTCTCCCCCTGAGCTGAGAGGGGAAGGACAGAGCTGGCTGCCCTCAAAGGAATGCCATGAAGTGGCAAAGTCCCTGCTGGGGGAGGAGAACGTGGGACTGATGGCCGGCCCCGGTAGAGGTCCCCCACACCACCCTCTTCCAGCACTCCTGCCCCCTCTGGGGGACATGCCTGGAGCTGGGTGGTCTCCTCCTTGGCATGCTTCCCAGTGGAGATCCCCACCAGCCTCTGCCCAGCCCCCATCTTGCCTCACTCCAGCACGAAACGGTGCACGAACCCAACACCCTCTACCCTCCAAGAGGGCAGGGTTCATTCCAGTTTTGCCCATCACTGTGCCCAGTGGTTTACTGGTAAATGTTTAACTGTCAGCTGACTGAAAGAGCATTTGGCTTCTCTGGTGGAAATACTCCCCCCATGGCAGTTTTCAGGCTCCCGAAGCGCATCACTGAACAGAAGTTGGGAAAAGAGGCAGCCCATTGTAGGGTATGTCTGCCTGCAGATACCGCGTGCCAGGATCACACCGCAAACAGTGGCTGAGGGGCCAGATTCCCCTGGTGGCTGGCAAAGCATAAAATACCATCTGGCCCTTTTACACATTTGGAGACCCCTGCAATAGACATCACCTTCAGAACAGAGATACTAATAGAAATAGAATAATTAGGAAGTGATGAGTTCTGGTACCTTTTAAAAATATAATTGTACAGTGGCTAACTGAACATAATAAAAAATATATATATACACATAATTGTAGCTTTATATCATTTAAGCTTGTTCAGTGGCTGTTTGACAACCAACTGGAAAATTTTCTGAAAAACCAACAAGCAGCTCTCCTGAGCCTGTGTAGGGTCAGCTCCAGTAAGCCTGTGTCTAGGGCCTGGCCGGGAGGAGAAACACAGCATTGAACGGCTGGAAATCAATGCCAATATTCAAACTGCTAGGCCACACTGCCCTGCTTCCTTCCTTCATTCTTTCTTTTGATCCCATTAAACACCTAGCTGTTTGTGCCTCCAGAGGGCCAAGGACTTTGCCAAGTTCCATTAGTTCTTCTTTATCCGCAGGGGATACGTTCCAAGACCCCCCACACAGACAGTACCAAACTCCATATAGACTGTTTCTCCCCACACGCAGATACCTATGATAAAGTTTCATTTATAAATTAGGCACAGTGAGAGATGAACAACAATGACTAATAATAAAATAAAGCAATTCTA